TAACAAGTCGATTTATTATTATCAAGATTCTCTCCAGTAGCAAAGCTTTCATTAAAATGATCCGTTGAATATTCTAGAGGGTATGGGTGTTGAATGTTTCTTTTCTTTTCTTTTCACACTCACACCTAAACTCACAGCCACAGCCACACCTTGAATTTTTAGGAAAGATCGATTTTCTTCAAAGTACACGATTACTTTTTCTTATATTTCTCAAGAAAAGCGTCTCAAAAGTGCAAAGTATGAAAAAAACTGGAAAGTCTGGATCAGGTAAGTTGTAGCACCAGATCTTAGCTACATTTTAAAAGTAACTCGAGACTCATAGCTTTAGAAATAGCATAGAAATTTGGAACGCATGGATACCTAAATTTTAACCCTTAACCATAGGCTAACTCTTAGTAGGCTCTATATTTCGAGCTAAAATTTTTATTGGAAGATGTCTACGCTGAGACCCATTTTCTATGTCAATTTTATCAAGATCAGATGATCAGACAGAAAGAAAAAACTTTAACACGAATAGCGAAACTGTGCTGCACTCACTTACTCATGTATGAAAGGCAGCATTTGTGTGCGTTGCTATTTGCTCACATCTCCCCATACTCTCTACGCTTTTTCAATTGTAAGTTGTCAAGAAAGAATGAAAAGAGTCTATTTTTCATTCTCTCTCGTGGCTTGCGCTACGAGAAAAGAATAAAGATTTCACAAGGTCATACACAATCTGCATGTCTTCGAGGTTGGGATCTCGGTGTGCGAGAAGAATACCATACCTACATTTATCCTTGAAATCCATCTGTCACGGTCAGTGATAGTGGAGAGCAAATTTTTATCCTATATACTTCAACACTTCTTTCAGATTATATTTCATAAAAACCATTACTTGAGGAAGATGCTGCTACAAATCTACCATAATGATGATTCCATTCTGTCAATGGGATTCATCAATAGATTTGAAGGATATTGGTTATGAAAAAAACATCATTCCATATCTTTTCCAAAAATATCATTCGTCCTATATTGAAAAGAAAAAGTATAATGGGTTATATTTTGTTTGACAACATTTGGGTGTGGGTGTAGGTGCGGATATTCTCTTCATTTACCCATACTCACACTCACCCTTCTTATTTGACAAAATTAGATTCCTAGAAATAAATACAAGATAGGCTGGCACGTGTCTATAGATGATATGGAAGCAATTTTGTCCGAACTGCCACGTCTTAGACATTTCCAATTCACAACATTTGATCTTGCTGATGTTGCTAATGCGTATGAATGGGAAATGCCATCAGGGAGGTTAAAAAGACGATACCAATATTCACACCCATATCCACACCCACATTCAACATATAAAAACTAGTTCTAGGAAAGTTCATTGTCTCGAAATATACATCTTTTAATTTTGCAGACTCACGTTGCTAATAAATGATTGTGCCCAAATATTCTTAGATATGTCATCGAAATAATATTGATTATATTCTCAGAATAATATTCTATACAGTTTCAAAAGTGAATTAAAATATTTATTAATTTAGCATATTAAAAATCTTTTCTATACTTGAAAATTCTACTTGAAATACAATTTAATACAAATATTCTTTAATATATTTCAGATATAATTTTCAATTAATGCTATTCTATCTAATAATAATCTTTTATTCAATATATGACTGACTATCTCTTTCAGATATTTCAATGAGTGATTTTTGTCACCACAACACTAGAAATTTTCTCGACTTCCTATTATTCAATGAAGATTTCAATATTTAAGTTCAACTTATACTATTGACATATACTTAATCATATTATTGATAAACAATTGAGAAGAATAAAAGAATTAATTGAATGGATCATGTTTAGTTAAGAAAAAAAGTTCTATAATTCATTGATATAATATTAATTCTAACGAATTTCTTAAATTTTTCTAATAATATTCACAATTCTCGCATATCTTATCATTAAATGATGTTGATGTCGAAGTCTAACACAATGATTAATAGCTATTGTTATAGTAATTGTATAAATGTATACGTATAGTTACATCTTTCATAAACTTCAAAAAAATAATTCATTATTTGTAACAGAATAACTACCGTGATCTACGTATTTTCTCTTTCACAGACGAAAAAAAAACGAACTTTATTTATTTGTATTGATAGTTTTTTCATTAGGATGACAAACACATTTCAAAAGATCCATACAGTCTCTGATAAAGATATTTCAATGCTAGGAAGAATCTTTTCGAAAGTCTTTTCTCAGAGTCCACTACAACATCTCTTGTGTAGGCTTGACAATAGACGAGAATGGATCTCTCTATATCGTTGACTATGAAAAATATGCAGTGAGACGATATCGCAGAGGAGAATCTCAAAGAACAATGGTTGCAAGTGGCAATGGACATAGAAATCGTCTCGATCAACTCGCTGTCCCATATTACGTATTCGTCGATTGAGTTCATTCAGTGTACGTGTCTGATCAGGAAAATTATCGTGTAATGAAATGAGTGAAAGGTGCAAAACAAGGCTTTGCTGTGGCTGGTGATCAAGGAGAAGGAGATGGTCTTAAACAATTGTCTTCTCCTCGAAGAATCGTTGTCAATCAATTAGCCACTGTCTATGTGACTGATCTGGAGAACGATCGAATCATGCGTTGGCCCAAAGGAGCCATACAGGGAAGTGTCATTGTTAGTGGAGACGGTAGAGAAGCACAATCGAACGAACTTCATAAGCTCATTGGTTTGTCATTCGATCGGCACGGCAATCTATATGTCCTCGATTTGTGAAATCATCGAGTACAAAAATTCAATATCAAATAAACTTCAAACGATGATTAATTTTAATTTTTTGTTCTCTTTCTCTTACAAATAAATCGCAATTGAATGAAAAAGAATTAATAACTATTGTATTTGCACGTGCACGCTCGATCAGGAACCATCTTGGTGAAGTCGTAGCGAGTGTACAGCTCATGCACGCGTGAAAAGACTCACATCATCCGCATGCAACCATCCGGTGTCATGTGTCAATGAGTTCGGAGAGCCCGGTCGTATATCACAGACACCAAGACAGTTCCTGGCGGAGCTTAAGGGTATGGGTCTGGCCCTGGGTGAATATCAGTGTAATAGAGACCAACTCTCACATCTTTCTATGGATTGGAATTAAAGAAAAATTAAATTCATTATTTGATGATGTGTAAAGAGGTATTCATTTGAATTTTCTTGTTCTTTATTTTAATAAAAAAAACTTGAAATTCTACTTTTATTAACATTTTGAGATGGTGCTTGACGCAAATCAATATAGTATTTTTTTTATTAGATGTATTCTTTCATTTTTTTAAATGTATTATTATTGTGTTTTTTTTTCTACATTCTCGATATTAGATAGATATTTCTTTGATTGTCTTTCATAATCAAAGAATAACTTTGAAAACGATATGGAATGATTATTTTTTTCTTGGTCACTACTTTATTATTGAAGATTTATTAAGTAATAACAGATTTCTTCAAAAGAATTTATACCTTCTATTATAAATAACGTCTATTTTTTACATCTTCATTCTAAGATCTTCACAAAGATTTATTTCATAGAGAAGCAATAATTGCTTTCAAAAATGGTTAGTAAATGACATTATATGCCATTATTTCTTATTCTTATTTAATTCAATCATACTATCGTGCGTTTTATTTTACAGTTTCTTCTACTAACATTAACGTATTTTTATTTGTCATGTTCATTAAATTATGATAATTAAAAATTGAGATATGTGCTTTGAAACTTCATTTTAATCGAATATATTCTGTAAGTAGTGCAGATTTCGTTTTTGTAAGTTTCATCAACAAAATTTATGATATTATTATTTTCAAGCATTGACAAAAATTCTATAAGTTTATTGAGTAATAACTCCGATCTAATTATCACAATCGATTTCAAGACTTAAATAATCCTGTGAAACATCAGTCGACATTATGTTTTTCATAAAAGTAATTCAATTAAATACTTTATTCCTTGGAACTTCTCCATGAATTCGATATATAATAATACTAGGATTTTACATAGGAATGATTTAATTGCCAAAAATAAAACTGAGGCATACGTCAAAATGACCTATACTATTGACGACATTACTGAAGAAATTAAATAACTTCGTAATCAATGTTCGACTACGTAGTAGTAAGTAATTCAATTTATTGGAAAACATTAAGCAAAAATTGGAGTCGATTGTCACATTTTCTTTTCATTTCATACAGGCGTCGTATCTTGGTCATATTCTATTGATAGCATAATAAGTTCTTTTCACTTTTGAGAAAACTTCTATGACCTTATTCTCAAAATAAAACTCGTAACTAAGCCTAATAATCTTTTTTTTTCTTTCAGAAGTATATAGAACAAACAAAGGAACATGCAATGAATCTCCCGTTTAGTTCTCACAGTTTTTCTAGGCTCTCAATCTCCTATTTCTTTTCTTTCCACATTTGTAAAAAGATTCGATAATCTCCGACATAAAGCCTGGATGAGTCAAAAACTGTTTAAACCTTTGCAAGGACTATAGATTCCATGCGATTCAGAACTATGCCTTGCTGCTTGCCAGCCAGAAATTTTCGATAAATAAAGAAAATCGTCATGAAGCTTAACTAGATAAAATAAGCGTTGACTGGAGAAAATCAGCGATAAATTATGAATGTCTTCCGATGAAAATAGAAGTTCAGATTCTACAGTTCAATTATTAGAGTAGCTGTGTAATTCGAGTTTGAAAGTAAAAAAAAGAAATTTCGAAATTTCATTGGCAACTACATAGCCAACGCTAAAATTTTCCCGTACTTATAATTATAATTCAGATGACGATACTCATTTAAAAAATGCCAAGGATAAATTTTTTATCTTAATTATAATTGAAAGAAAAGATTAGCTTTGATTTTTTTGGCTGTTTCAACATGGATGCTCTCATTTCAACCATAATTATAATTGAGATAAAAATTTATTTTTAGCCGTTTCAATATAAATGTCCATATTTCAATTATAATTATAATTGAGATACAAATTTATCTTTGGCCTTTTCGGTCGTTTTAATATGAATGTTGATCGGTAGTTTTTGTTTTTGATTTATTTTCGAAGTGATATCAAACTCTAGGAGATTCATTTATATTCGAAGTTGCATTAGGCACCTCATGAACTATTATAGTGTTTTGATTATTTTTCTTGTTCTTTCATGGAAAAAAAACTATAGACAATAGTACATCAAATCAAGTCTTATTATTTCATCGAATTACACACTTCCGATTTTGTATATACTACTAGAGTAAGCTTTCTTTTCTCTTTATTGTTGTCGCGTTTTCATTACCATGTTAGTGAATAAAAAATGAGTCATATAGCTGTTCAGTAACACATTCAAATCATATTTTCTATCGTTAATCGTTTCTAATTGTATTCAAAAAAAATCATGGTTCACTTTTCTGGCATTTTGCGTTTCTCTAGTTTCTATTGTGATGGGTGATGCTAGGCAAATCAAACAATGATATCTTCAAATTCCTCACTTAATTCGTTTACAATTCATGTAAAGATTTATCTCGGTTCGAAATCAAGTGATCACGACAGTTTACTCTATTAATCGATCATGAAATCGATTTTGAAAGATTTACGAGCAGATACTTTTGAAAAGTCAAAAGAATTTATCATTATCAAGTACATTACTTTTATGATGAAAGGATTATTAATGAATGCATCTCGTTCTCTTCCAGCCTTTGTTCAACACAGTGGGCTTGTTATCATAACACTTCTATTTGTTTGAGATAATGAATGATGATGAAAGAAAAATCAAGTGCAGCAGTAAACTGACACCTGGAAATATTTTTGCTGATTAAGAAAAAGTACATCTGAAATGAATAATCATCTTGATTATTTGAAAATGAGTAATCAATGTTTATTTTAGCTTAAATAATGACTGCTCATTGTGTATATCAAATATATATGGTTGTTTTCTTGGTGATTATGTTACATTCAATTTTATTACCGTCCATTTGGTTATATGAAAACGAGAATGAGACTTCACTCTTCTCATATTCACTGTTCACATATCTGTTTGGTATTTTTAATGTAGTCTAGGTTTTTATCTACTGATGCAAGTTTATTTTAATAGATTTCATCATTCTTAAGTAGATTGAGTTAATTATTATGACAGGATATATGAAAAAAAACATACCGCTGTCGCTTAATGTGTTAGCCTTTGAACATGTGTTGCCATGCGAGAATATCTGACATATAATAAGGATTCCGTCACATCTATCATTTAGTATTTTTTCATTTTATTCATTTAGCTTCTTCATTCACTAAGAAAATGTCGTCGACATCAGATGCAAGTCTCATTGCTGCATTGAACCATGCTTCAACTCAACTCAATCGTTACTTTGCAATTTTCATCATTATCTTTGGTGTTGTGGGTAATACCATCAATATATGCGTTTTATCACGACGACCTTTACGTTCAAATCCTTGTGCATGGCTCTTTCTTGCTTCATCGATTGCAAATGGTATTGGTATTCTTGCAAGTGTCATTTCTCGACCGTTATCAACTTGGTCTGCTGATCTAACAAGTACAAATCAATTTCTTTGCAAAATTCGTGCCTTTCTCTTATTCAATGCAACCACTATTGGCTCTTGGCTTATCATGTTGGCAACAGTTGATCGATGGCTGTCATCGAACACTGATGCTAATAAACGACAAAGAAGTACATTAAAGAATGCTCAAATCGGTACGATTGTGGTTGTCATCGTTTCAACTCTTATTGAAGCACAACATCTCTATTGCTACGAAGCTAATCTTACCAATACTCCACTCAAATGCTATGCGAGATCATTGTGGTGTAGCTTTGCATCAGATCTATCCTTTGCCCTGATCACAATCCTATTGCCATTACTATTGATGATTATCTTTGGTTTCATGACCATCTCGAATATAAGTAAATCACGCTCTCGTTTGCAACCGATAAAAAAATCTAGGAGTGGTCAAGCTGATCACAATACAGCAACGAATAACACTGCACATTTGACTCAACGAAGAAAAACAGATCGTCATCTTTTGATCATGTTATTGGTTCAAGTTTCTCTTATCTTTCTACTTACTTTTCCACTTGCTGTGGATAAACTCTATTCAACTATAACTCAATCTGTGCCCAAGTCATCATTGAGAATAACTATTGAAAATTTTGTCTTCAACATACTTCTTCTTGTTTATACTGTGTCTTCTGGAATGCCATTCTATATTTATACGTTAAGCGGAGGAAGTCTATTTCGTGAAGCTTTGTTCAGTTTTCTGTCAACATTAGGCCGAAAGATGATGTGTCAACGTGGCTAATTTTCTTTTTCAATCAAATAAAATTAACTTTAATTCAATGTAAAATTGTAATGCTTTATCAATAAATAATCGATGAAAAATTAAAACTTCTATCGAATGCATAGTTATTTCTAGTCAAAGATCATGATTAATCCTAGGAGGACGTAGAAGCTTTGAAACTTATTGTCAAAGAAAAGCAAATAGAAATGAAACAAAACAGAACACAAAAGATATGACATCAATATTCTTATTAATTGACAAGGTTTCAAGAGACTACAGAGAATAGTTTGATGACTACAAGCGACAACAGAAACAGACTTTTAGGTGAAAGAGCTGAGTGGCAGTGAAAGAACATCTGTAGACTCAAATAATCATAGTCTATGTATAGTAATGACATACTTGTTAGACGCGAGATCGCAACGTGATGGTATGACAACAGAATGGGACAAAATAAGAATCTCCCTTCTCAAGGAATCGAACCATGCATCTTGTGCTTTTCGGGCAGCTATACTACCACTGTACTATTGTCCATTGCAGAGTTAAATGGCCGTGGGTATTTTTTGAATAACTTTGAAATAGAAAGAGAGAGATAACCTGAATTTTTCGTTCTATTTACAATCGACATTGCTCTATCTTTTCACAAAGTCGATTAAATATTCCAGTCCCTTTTCTTAGTAGATACGTAAGGACTTTTGAAGATAAGCTTAATTCACTTTGGAATCTACATACTTTCTTAATTATAATATAACAGATACATAGCTCAGATCTCTCTCTATCGATCTACGTGAGGTCGAGATCGAAAGTGATTTGCACTCAAAAGATATAAAGATTTTTCTGAAGGTTATACTTATGAAATATTTTGTCAAAATCTTAGCAGTTAACACACATTGCATACTATAAATTTTTAGTGGTCTTTTTCTTCATTACACAATTTATCAACCTTTAGAGTTTTTTCTACAGAAAACGTGATTGAAGAGTATTTAATGTTTGGTGTGTGGGGTAAAGAAGTAGTGTGGGTAAGAGTGTGAGCATAACATGCGGTGCAAAAGTCTTTGCAAATATGTCAAGCTCTCTCA